ATACATTTTTACATTTGATTATTTTTCAAAAAAAAAAAATACTAATATAATTATTTTAACTGCAGAATTTAAAATTAAAAGTTGCGATAAATCTGCAAATCTGGTGACTGCTAATTCAATTACAAAAAAACGTTCATAACTTTATAACTATTAATCCAATCATAATAAAATTTTATATGCACATATTTTTGAACCCGCTGAACAACTTTACTTATACAATCAAAGTTGATTTCCTTTGACAAAAATGCTTAAATTGCTCTTTTAAGTTACTGTACGGATAAAAAATAAAAATAAAAAATTTGTGAGATAATACAATTATGAAAAACGTGCATAACTTTACAACCATTAATCTAATTATTATAAAATTTTATATGCACATATTTCAAACCTGCTGAATAACTTTACTTACACGACCAAAGTTGATTTCCTTTGACCAAAATACTTGAATTGCTCTTTGAAGTCACTGTACGAATAAAAAATAAAAATAAAAAAATTTGTGAAATAATACAATTACGAAAAATATGCATAACTTTACAACCATTAATCCAATTATAATAAAATTTATATGCACATATTTTCGAACCCGCTGAGTAACTTTACCTAATCTGATTCCACAAAGTAATATTCAGTTTAATTTAATAAATTAACATTGAGCTTGAGCTAAAGATAATTATATTTTAGGGTGAAGACTACATTTGAAGATTTATGCTCGCTCATAGGAATAAAAGCTTTGGTAATTGATGCTGAGACATGGTCTAAAGATGCCAATGCAAATCTACAGCTTTTAAAACGTGATATTGGATAGGTTATAAATAATAGTTCTGGTTATGAAAAAACTATATGAGAAAGAATTGAGACAGAATTAGAAGAAGTTGATATTGAAAGCCTTGGATTTGACCATCCTATATGTTCTGGAGTTTTAGATGTTAAATCAGAATCTTTCATAAAGATGTCTGGATCATTTTGTGATATTTTTAAGAAACCTTTTGAGAAATACAAGCTAGATCATAATAATATGATAATAGATACTTGTAGAGAAATTATTCATAATGAGAAATCAAAGATAAATTTGGATGAAGATTTGAATGATGTTGAATTTGAAGAATGGCTAGATAGCTCTGAGAGGCTTCAAGAAATGACAAGACAAATACTAGAATCTTTGTAAGTTCACTTGAGTTTTACTCACCATACTCTGCCTTTTTATATATGTTAGCTTACAGTATAAATAATAAAAATGAACGGAATCTTTTATAGGTTTAAAGTTTAGAAGTCTCTTAAGTATGAAGCCTATACAAAGAAGAGAAAACTGATTAATGAAAGGTTGTATATCTGTGAAGTACTTGCGCCATTAATAAATATAGTAATGAGAGAATTACCTGGAAATCCTGCTATATAGGATATATGGTAAGTACTACTTCTAATATCAGCTATAAAATAACCCTGTAGTATTATTTTTTTTATTTAATAATTTTTCTAAAATAGGGGTAAAGATGGGAGTTTGACTAACACTGTACGAAAAGGATCTCGTAAATTTACACAGAAATCTGATTATATGACTATAGTGCAATTAGAGAAAGATGCAGAGCTTGAAGTTGTATATCTCAAAACTGGCAGGTTAGATTCCAGTCAAGACAAGCGCCAGCGAGACCACAAAAAATTAATACAATTTTCTAAAGATTCTATCAACACTACTAGAAAAATATCAAAGCTTAAAAGGGTATTTAATATTTTATCTAAGAGGCAGTGTTATCTATATTTGCTATAAACATTGCAGGTAATGCATTATGCGAAAGCGCCTATAACTATTTTTTTTTACATTTCAATCTTGTATTATAAATCAATAATTCTTAACCACATTGCTTTCAAACATTTTAGGTGACGTTATGAAATTATATATCATGCGTAAAGAATCTGATATTTACAAATACTGTCTAATAGAGGAAGCACTGATTCCACTACATATGACTTCACCAAGTGCTATATACCCTCTTATTTATACAGTCAAACCTTGATATAGCGAACCCTTGATATAGCGAATTTTTAAATCAAATATATTAAAATTATCTTTACTA